TAATTTTGAGACATCACAACTGGTTTGGAAGCCAATCATAGTCCAACATTCCACTTAAACTACTGCGATGTGGAAACTTAAACTTTCGTGCACACTGACTTCACAATGAAACAGGAGATATCTTCTGTTCAACTTTAGGAAAAAAAGTGCATTCATTGGTTCTGGATTTTTCAGTTAGGTAGAAGGAGTAGATGCAATTTTAATAATTTTTAAAGTTTTTTGTCATAGAACCTTATCAGTCATATATTATTGTCAAGCAGATTATTTTTATACGTCTTAAAACATGTCAGGAGGGGATCTTAAAGTAAAAGTAGTAAAACAGTGTAAAAATACTCCAGAATAAGTCCCACATTCAAATTCTTACTTAAGTAAAAAATTAAGTAGAATTATAATCAGCAAAATACATTTAAAAGTATCTGGTCAATATGAAACAAATTTTAAGTTTTAACTGTACATACTATCGGGTAGTAATCTATAGCAAGGAACATCTGCTTTATATAAAATATCCTGCAAAGTAACCATAGATTTCAGGTGTCACATAACATAAAATGGAAGCACTCGAGTAAAGTACCTGAGTAAAAAGGTACATTCCACCACAGATCTGTACAATAATATGTTTAAGGTTTCTGCTGTATTAATGCATGATGAGGATATTCTTTATTGTTGTATAAAGGGCTAATGCAGGATAAACACATGAATCAGACTTCATCAAAACTCAGGATCCTCCATGATCCTGTCTATGAACTGTTACTGTCTGATCCCATTTCTAGTTTGTTATTTTAGATCCTCAGTTAAAAAAACAGCCTCAGCTATGAGAACAGGGAGTCAGGAAGCCGAGAGGCGGTTCCTGGGTTTTGGGTGACTTACTCTCACGCAACACATGTGGCGGCTGGTCCTCGGGAGGCAGAGGGGTTCCTCCCCTGTAGGTCAGGTTACCCAGAGCAGCCAAGGGCTAACCACTACCATCTGGCCTCACCTTCCACGTTCACTGCCGCTCCAGGTCTCAATGGCTTCCACATGGCGCCCCACCATCTCAGACATTACCTCTTCAACACAGAAATACACATTCATTAAACTGATGCACACACAAAGTACACACATTTATATCAATGCAAGCACTGTGCAAAATAAATACATGTGCACACATATATATGCACATAGGATAAGAAATAAAAAGTAAAGTTAATTTATATAGCACTATTTAAAACTGTACTTACAAGGTGCTTTACAGAAGGGACAGAGAAAGAAGAAAATAGACGAGACCACTGATAAAAACATGTAAAAATGACAAAACCAAAAATTGTAAGATTAAGAAAAAGACAAATCTACATACATAAATCCAAAATATGCACATTGCACACAAGCAAGTATGCACATGCATATACACAGACACAATGTACATCACACACCAACATGTAGCGTAGGTTGCGGCGCTTTAATCAGGAAAGTCACCTCCAGGGGTTTCATGTAAGTAGGACTGGACGCTGCTCTTCTCCTGGCTTCACACAATGAATCACTGAGACAGCCTGTGCTTAAAAGCCTCAATCCACTGTCAATAAAACTAATGCCATCACAGGTTCTCTGTGTGCAATGTAATCTTTTATATGGTTTTATGTCCAGCACATAAAAACCCAACACTTTTGAGATGAAAACTATAATCACTAATTATATGGAATCAACATAAATGTCGGTTAGGAGTTTTAAAGAGGCGCTGTGTTGGCGCACATATTTTTATATGTTTATTTTGATGCAGCTTTTATTTTTAGAATCTAGAAGTAAATAATAAAAAATACAGAGCATACTCAGGGGAGAGGATGATGTGGAGGAGGTCATGAGCTGGTTTGATCTCAAATTAGCACCAGTTTCCCATTATTTCATACTGAACTTGATGGTTTACAGACAACAAAACCCTGTTAAAGTGATAAGCACAGAGCCCCTGTAGGCCAATACGCCTGTATGTGTAGGTTTTATTTTTCAGACAACTCTGAAGCCAATCGCTCACCTCTGTTTTACTGCGTTTTTCATAAATCTGCGAAGTGACTTCACTTTGTCTGGATTTTCTGTCAATAAACTAGAACCTCTGTAAATGGGTTTTTTCTTGTCATTACTAATGCTATAACTGCCCAGGTCCAATAGTAGTAGTCAAATTAATTATAAAGCTAGAAGCATAGTATTGTGCCATTAGAGGCAAATTCAGAGAACTCCAACTGTTCTCTAGCCACTGAACAGAAACACTGCTCCTCACTTTATTTAATATAATTATGGGTGGAATATCAAAATTAAAACATTAAAGACACTCCTGACAGGCTTAATTAAAAATGGGTAAAAGGAAAGACTAGGAGCCAGTTTCACTCGTTATATTACCATATACACTTCAGCATAGTCTAACGGTAAATATCAGAAAAAGCACTAAAGGAAGGGTGTACTATATCAGCTTTGGATGATTCATCTCATTACAACTGATTTTTTATTTATCTGACCTTAATTTAACCAGGATGATTAAATGGATGGATGGATCTTTTTTCAAGAAATAGGAATCAGCCAAATAGGAATCATAAATCTTAAAGGTGACAACATAAAATGTGATCATCTGACTGAGGTGAGGAACGGGACAACGTACTGTATATGTACTGTCAGTTACACATACAGTATGTATTTAGCCAAAAAAACAGTTAGGGCTGCTACTGGAAATGCAAAGCGTGGCACTTCCTGTATGCAGGTAAGACATAACAGACATGTTAAAGCTTTCATCAATTATAAGTTAATTTATTGTTGTGATGTAGCCAATTTGGAAGTAAATTTGGAAATAATGCAATTGCTTGACCTGGACTACTTTATGGTAATTGTGGATTTACCCCGAGGATTGGAACCAGGGATCTGCAGTTCACAATCAGTTTCAAGAATATTTACCATGTCATGATATGCATCATTAATTAAGTGTATTGTGATAGAACACCTAGTTTCACTGTCACTCTATATTGTTCTGTTGACCTCATGTGACTCTGTTGTTGACTCCTTGTTTAACAGTGTGAACGAGACAACAGACATTCTTAAATCACATCAGTCATCCTGTATTTACATACTCACTTTCAGACTACAGATGAGATGTGAAAAACGTACTGCTGCAGCTTAAAAGAAGAGCACCACGGATAAATTCTCTTTAGCACACCGCTGCACCTGTGACATACAAATAATTTGCTTCTCACAGATTCTCATTGTACAAAACAATAGCATCTGTGGCACTGGGTGACAACTTATCTGCCCCAGCTGAAACAGGAACAACATGCTCTGTCTCAGCGGTAATCTTTGATCAGCTGAAACGCTTTCTGTGATAAACATTGACTCGATCCCCATGGGCAATCACTCTATAGTGCTGGCATCGTGGGAGGTAATGTATGCATAAATGTGTTGAATTCGCTTCAGGCCCTCACACACACATGCAAACACACACACACACACACACAGGGCATATACACAGCGAGATGAATTGCTATGCCACCTAGAATAAATACATATCAGCTACAGTGAGCTGGGGCGCTTTGCTCTTTCCTATTAATCCTCAGCATGGTGATTTATTGCAGTGTGCTTGTCAACAGCCATATAGTCCCCAGGAACTGTGGCCAGCCGAGAGAAATAGTGGAGTTTAAGACTAAGGCCCAGCAGCTGCCCCGTAGTCTATTTATGTGCATTCTGGACCATGCTGAAGGTGAATATATGGGTTGGTTGAACAACAACATTTTGTGCAAAGAGGAATGGGGTTTTAAACTAATCTATTCATCATAATCCAACTTTTAAATTGATGTCTTCCCACATGTCGCCACTGTAGAGATTTGCATTTACCAAGGTGAAAGGCCTGGATGCTCAGCAATCAGTTCAGTGCAGGAGAGTGATGCTAAAGGGCCCTTCTGTAAGTTATTTTTACACATTGTATGCATGGCAGTGCATATTGAGATTAATATGGATTCCACTGAAAAACAGACCAGCAGAGGAACTTTTATTAGAGAGCACCATCTAGTGTTTGCTTATATACAACATCATAAGACTAAATCCAACAATTAATGTATAATTTTCAAAAGTTATGTCTGTCACGTCTGATATATCTTGTTCCTCTGTGCCACAGAGCTCCACTGTTTCACTGGGTGACATGTTCCTTCATTACGATGAATGAGTCAATCCCAAATACACTGCCCTACTGATTGAAATACTCACTAGCCCACTAAATATGTATTATTCTGCACTTGAAAAACGATGCGACTGTCACGTAGTATTGTGGCATGTTTTTATGAAATGCCCACTTTAAAATGTTTTTACAACTGTAGATCATTTTATTGAGCATCTCACCTCAAGGTCAATTTAATGTGATGATCCAAACAGCTACTAAAATGGACTTTGAAGTGAGTTTTATTTTTTGTCAGTTGCTGGTTCCAAGCTTAATAATGAATGTTGAACTTCACTTTTTCAATCAATATGGATGAAAAATCTTTTTATAGGTCCTCAGAAAAAAAAAAAATTGAAAATAACATTTCTACAACTGAGAAATCTGACAAAACCAGGGCTGTGTATGAAATCCCATGTTCACTCACTCACTATTCTCTATCTGCCAGACACTCAATAGATTATTCTTTAGAGGCCAGTAAGTAAAGATTTGACACAGTATGAAACATTACCATTCTGCCATTACTTTAAGTGAAGCACAAGTGTCATCTTTTGTATCTATTAAAATGTGTTGTGGGATTGTTTTCAAAAAGTGGTGTACATGTCTTGGAAACGACTTGTTTTTAAGGGCACTATATTGTGCAGAAATTTAACACTCAGAATTTGGACTCTTATAAAAGTATACAAGTATATATCCTATATAGTGCTCTTTATAGGATATACGAAGTGATTTCAAACATGTGTAATAACTGAAAGCTACAAAACAGCTACTAACTGTACCTTGGGGTGAGAATCTTTTGTCAACTGTTGTTTTCAAGGTCAAGAATGAACTTTGAATGTCAAATCGACCCTTTATGTTGACTCATTTTATTGTGAATTTGACACAGTACAAGACCCACAACAGAAACAGAGCACCTTTTTCATATCGCGGACACCAAGGACACTTTGACTTGATAGCTCCAAACACAAAATAAGGCCACTCCACTTTAAACTGCATTTTGTCCGTTTGCGAGGCGACAGCGGCTTTCTTCGACATTGAAGTTTTGAGACAGTACAAACTAAAAAGTCTACAAATCTCACATGTCACACTGGACTGACAATGTTTGTTAAATTTCACAGATGGTAAAGAAAGGTACTGTTGCTAGTGTAGGTATGATGTTTTGGATATATATTTTGGAGGAAGGGGAGTCTTTAGAAAAGAAAAATATGGTGAATTACAGAAAAAACAATACATCTTTTTTATTTTAAGCCATTTCTACATTATAATTATTGTAATAACAATGCTATGACACAGAATTACAATGTATTGTATGTCAAATGATATGTATCTTAATCAGTGACCTCTTCCGCACAGTCCTGACCAAAAAAGAGCAATATAAACATTTTGATATGAAATGAGTCTCATTTAACACACTTCACTTATCTCTGAAAGAACAGTTTGAACAAATCGTCTAAATTATTGTGCACGAGTGGAGAGTGCGCCTTATAGAGTTTGTCCATTATTAGCCAATAGTGTATTATTATTACTGGAGACTTGACATAGTCTGACTGACTTTTTTTCAATTAAGAGAATGTACAGCTAGATGGTGCTGTGAGGCTGCATTTGCAATGAAAGTCCACGGCCCCCCACACCCCAGCCCTCTAAAACAAACCCATCTAGCCATCTCTTCTCCACCTCCTTATTTTATTTAGTTGCTCTCTGTCACTATCTCTCTTTTTCACCTCTACATCCTCCAACCCTCTTCATCACTTCTATCTCCCCAACTCTCCTTCCCCATTTCCTCCTCCCCTCTCTCCACCAGTCTATCTTTGTGTCTCTCCATCTCCTCATCTCTGCTTCCATCCATCTCTCCCCTCTCCCAACCCCCATCAACACCTCGACAGCTCCACTCAATCCTCTACTGTGCAGCCACAGCTTGGGTTTCACCAGCGGAGGTCAGTAGCTGCATGAGACTTCCTGAAGCTGGCCGGTTTACCCCTGTGGTCCACTCGAAGAACAATCTGGAGTAAAACACAGAAATGGAAGCAATATTTGTGAAGCAGTCAAAACCCTCACATGTTCATTTGTTTAATACTCTGTAGTATTACAATACCTTATATCCCAAGAGAGGTACCGTGTCTAAGACCATTACAGCAAATTTCTACATTCATCTTTGCAGCACCTTCTCATACAAATACATCACATACTACTACTACTATCATTGTGCAGTAATATTCACAATATATTTTCCATTTACAGGTGGTCCTGGTGGCCTCGTGGTTTTGATGTATGCCACATAAATCCCATATAGTTATGTTATCCCCATTTAAATTCCAGCCAGGGATCTTTGTTGCACGTTAAATCCAAATACTCACCCAATAGAGACAGACTACCATAAAAATAACAAATTATATACAGCATTTTTTATTTTTTTAAACCTGCCAGCCAATCAGAAACAAGTAACTTCCGTTGCCATGGTATAGAAGGAAGGTAACCAACTGTGTAATTTACTAAGTACCGAAGGTTGGCACTGAATTCTGGGTCAGATTTTTATTCCTGTTTACATATTTGAGATATTTGCTCAATTCAATCAATTTTGTCAATTTTACATTGTATTTTATTCTTCATTTAGGCTATGTTCTTGTACAGCTGCACATTTTAGACGCTGTGTAGTTTAGCTTCCTTTGGTAAATAAAAAAATTGGTTTGTAAAGGAAAAAATTATATTTCAAACAGTAAGGTAATGCAAAAAATATTTATTTGGTGTCAATACCAATAATCGGGTATTGTATCAGCACTAATACTAAACATTTATTAATCATAGCTAGCTGTGGGCAGCACTAGGATCTTACTAAAAAAAGTGATTTAACATCCTAGAGTACAAATGGCACATTTACAGTCCGGGTCCTACATGAATGCTGAATAATGAACTTGACAAACTGCATTTCCAAGTAGTAATGATGATGTGTAACTTACAATCGGGCACAGGTTTTATGAATGAAGTTTGTCATTTGAAAGCCAGAGAGAGGATAGGGAAAAGTGACAATATAGCCCTGAGCGCCACCTCTCTTTATTTCCCACCATGCAGATTATGTCTATTTCTGTCCTCAGACCTTCATCTGTTTCCTTAGGTATTATCAAACGGGATCAAATCCCATCTAATCCATCTACCGGTTTCCAATGTACTAATTAGTTGAGTAAATACTTTTTTTTTTTTTTTTAATTTTTTATATATATATATATATATATATATATATATATATATATATAATATATATATATATATTATATATATATAATATATATATATTATATATATAATATATATATATATATATATATATATATATATATATATATATATATATATATATATATATATATATATATATATATATATACACACACTTTAAATCATATTATCTTCTCCTACTGAAGTTGAATTGTTGAGGTTTTAGAACTGTTAAATAAAATATGTTATCAATCTTTACTTACTTTTTGCAGGTTGCATTAGTCAAGTAAGATCAAGTAAATTGTTTATAAAGTAGTATATGATTAAATCTTTGATTTATGGCGTGTGGGTTCCATAATTGAGAGAATAAATGTCATACTACAAAGACAGAAAATTGGATGAGTTACAGTGATGAGCTAGCAAGAACAAAAACACCACATACACACACCTGTGTCATCAATCACACTGCACTACCAGACAAGTGTAGATCTGTTTTGCCATCTTGTGGTAAAATGTTCCATTTAGAATCTATTCCATCTTGGTTTTGTTTTAAAAAAAAAATTTGTAAATATGACATCAGACAAGTACCTGGGTATATTTACACCACACATAGGAGACCCATTTCACTTCTGGAAGGACGGATTACTAATAATTGAATGTAATGTAATATACGTGGGTAATATGTGTTTTACAGAAGAAAAAAAAAATACTCTTTATACTTTAAGATTATTGTTTAAAATAGCTATTGGTAATGCACTCTGAATTCTGTGCTCATTTGTCAGTGTATTCTCACATTCTTGTGCTCAACTGTCATGTCAGGTTATTTCCAGTAACTTTAATGTTGTCTGATAGCTGAAAATGTTTCTGTGATCTTAAGCATCAAAAGGTAAATCTGATGTTTAGGGTGTCTGACCCTCAAAATCAAAGAGCTGTTTGGACCGACACCAAACAATCAGAGAGAAATGTATCTTCAACAGGACATCATGTAAATTAGACACATGAGGACATGTTTCTATGTCAGCAGGGGGCCAGTCGTGATCAAAGACATGTAGAAGATGGGAGTTTTACACCACCTGAACAATGCATGTGCTTGTGAGGTACTAGCACAGAGAACAAAAAGACACATACCATTATGTCATCAGAGTCACTTGAGCATAACTCAATTTATTTTAATTCCCTGTTTCTGGGCATAGACAAGACAGTCGTGCCCTGTGTTCAACGTGCAAAAATGCTGGAACATTTGGAATATTTTTTGGCCAAATGTGTATATTGTGATTTATTTATTTAAGTCAAGTCTTACATTGACCATAATAAGACCTGTGTAGAGGCATTTTGGGAGACAAAGGAGGTCAATAGAAAACTAGTGGATGGCTACATGTGGCAGGTTAAGGGTGGAATTATCCTTAATGCAAAGCAAAAACAAAACAAAACATTGTAATACAAAGATCTGTGAAAGTCATTGAGTGGTGTTTTTATGATGTGTTCTAAAATATAATAATATTTACAGAGCTCTCTACAGCCTGTAAATGAGACTATGAATCATTATTCGCATAAGCACTCACTCTGCAATGTACTCCAGCGGCGTCCAGGAACCGAAGTCTGCGTCAGGCATGAACTTCCTGTTCATTGGCGTATCCAAGGTAACCCTATCAAATTAAGCAAGATGACAATCAGGGTGAGTATCACCGTCTGAGTGGCGGGGGGGCGGGGGGTTGGGGGGGGCGCCTAGCAGACTGCAGCATCTCCACACATGCAGAGAGCATACAGGGTTTGTGTGGAATTGAAAAAAAAGAAGTCATTTGCATCTTGTTTCTGTTTTATTATCATATTCATGACTTCAAATATCACTGTGTTGAATTGCACAGCATAATTTCATTTTCATGTCACCTTTACAACAAGCATACCGATATACTAATAATAATTTATTATGTCCGTGTATAATAGCTTATAAACAAAATATCCTGACCTAGGAGTACTGTAGTATTTTTTTGGGGGGGCAGGGGGTCATCATGCTGTATAAGCTTTACACACATACATTTAACTACAAGAGGACTTTTTTCATAAAGTACTATGAAACTGTAGAAAGAGTGAAGGGGGCATTAACACAATTGCTTATTGCTTTCTTACTGTACATGCTTTAAATCTTTTTATTTTTTATTATTTCATTATTCGACCACCTGGCCTTCACATTAATACACTCTATATTGTGAATTCCCACAAATGCTATGGAGCTATACAGTGTTAGTATATGATAGTACAGCACAAGGGGGTTGGGGTACACAGGCTGTAACAGAAATGCAAGTCACGGGGCTAATGCTGAACAGATGTGACAGCATGCTGGTTAGGCAGGCTCAGCCCAGCCTCATGTTGGTGGAGAATATAACCAAAGAGAGAGCAGGAGCAAAATACACCCCTGAAAATCCATTTCCAGCTTCTCACCATGACACTGCAAAAACACTGGTTTTAAATTCAATAAGCAAACAGAGCAGGCGATGATGCATAGGGAACTGTGTGCGTCACTCACACCAACTCAAAACAGATCCTGTGCACTATAAGAGATCTGCTGGGTGAAATTGGCGACCTTCTCCATCTTTTATTCCTGTAGCTTATCTTCCCCTAGCATTTATCCATCCACCCTAATTTTAAAGCACAGCTTTCATCCTCACTCCTTTTACTGGCTGCCTGCATTGTTAAAGCTACACCGTGTAAGACGTTTATGTTAAATACACACCACTTTTTCAACCTAAAGCACAAAACATTGCTGTAACAGAAAAGAGAATCCTATGCACATTTACTGAGACCTGTATATTTGTCTTGTTTCTTTAATAAACTCATGTTGCTGGATATGGAGTCTAGCAAGAAATCTGTTTTCTGCCAACAATAACTAATAAATCTAGCAAAAAAGCCCAATAACATCCAACTAGACGTCAGTGAGCCCTCCGTCCAGGGGAGAAAGAAATGAAAACATCTGTGGTCCCTTTTTCATAAAGCATCGTAGAACATCCACATTGGTAAACATGAATATGCTGTGTGTAGTTTACTAGCATCATGTTACAATATCTCAGTCTATTGCAGTTCAAGGAAATCTAAAAAGCTTCCCCTTTTCTTGTTTTATCCCTTTACCGTCCAAAACCACTAACTCAAAATAAGACAGACAGACGTTACATTAGTTTTTGTTAGAAAACTAATACCGTAGAAGATGAAATGTGGTGGACTGTTAATTTAAAAAGACCCTACCTGTGAGTGCAGTACATCTCTCCATTGCCGCATCATGGGAATGCAGTTCAGCACATTAGGACTAAATGTGCATCTTGACCAAGTGTATACACAACATTTCACAGCACTACTCACGGTAGTATAGCCACAGCAGCAGCTCCTGATGGCATCCCGCTGTTTTTTGCTGCAAGACTCTGACACAGCTGGTGGACTGCAGCTTTGGCCATGCCATAGCCTACCATGCCTGGGGAGCACAGAATATGTCTTTTAGTGTTCTGGAGGAAATTTCAGTTTGCAAAGGCAACATAGACCACATCAAATGCATCATGCGCTGTGCCCACGAGTGGATGACATTGATTTAGCAGAGAGTGGTCAAGTGGAAAAACACTGGAAATATCTATGGAAGGAAGATTTTGAGGTTTTTCAAACTGAAGTAGTAACCAGGTATTTACTGACTACATATAAAATATTCCTAAGTTATTGTTCGGTTTTCTCTACTTGCACAATATTTCTCCATGAACCAGGCCTCGACTAACTCATAGGGATGTTTTGTAACTTCAGCATCTGGAAACATTAAGTGCCCCCCCGAACATCTTAAAGAGCTTTGCAAAAAATGCTAAGCATCTACCCACCCCAATAAACCAATCTTATGACAGGCTTACAAAGAACTGACCAATAGGAACAAGGGGTGGTGATATGGCTTTATCACAGGGTTGTTGTTTTTTTTACTCAAAGAGCAAAATCAAGGGAAACACGAGTTAGGGATGCCAGTCATGCAATAGAGCTCAAGGATAGTGAAATTAACACTGCTTCCATTTGCTGCATAGCTAACAGGTTGGTGAAACAGACTAAAGGACTCTACTTAGTAAATATATAACAAGGCTAAGTTTAAACTTATGAACAACTGGTGCAACAAGCTCCAGAGAGTAGGATGCAATGGGACACTGGATCAGAGGAAGACACATTCAAACGAAGGACTTCATTAAGCCAACTGGAGTGAAAATCTGTGACTCTACAGTATCATTCGTAAACACGTGATACTGTAGAGTCACAGATTGCCAGTGCAGTCAATGGACAAGTATCTATCCATGACTATTGAATAAAAAGATGCACTACTGATATTTCACAGGCTAATCTTTTTTACTTAATGTACAAATGAGAACTGGACCGGGGTTCTGTATGGAAGTTAAGTTGCTTGAATAGAGGAAACAACATTCTTTGCTGTGCATAGACCCTAACGCACATTAATTAACATAATCCACTCTACTCTGCTTCTGATTGGCTAGTAGTCCTTAACTATGGGTACTGTGCATGTGCAACTCCCAACAAAGATCTTTTAGAAGTTAGATGCATCACTCCATAGCTAAAATGGAGCGTTCAACACACAGGGAGAAAAGAGGAGCTGAAGCAATGTGCACTATGACAATAAATATGGTGTTTTGAAAATGAAACCAAAACCTGTTCTGGTACAACCACTAAATAAAATGACCCTGAAAATGAACATAATATGACCACTTTAAGTTTGCTTTGGAATTTCAAGTAAAAGGTAATCTATTATGTGGATGGACACAATTGTACACAAAGATAATTGAGTGAGGACAAGAAACATTTTTCTTTACTACTTTACAAAATATCTTGTGAATCCCCAAATGATCGTGCTTTTTCACTACTTTCCATGCTGACATGATATTTTGAAAAGAAACTTTCAGATTTTGGTTGGTTATCCCCCACATCATCCCAACCCAAAGATGCTTCCAACATTTCACTTGGCATTCATTCATAAAAAATAAAAAAAATGTTTACAATAACCTTCAAAGTTAATACTATTAGTTATCCTAACGTGCCTTCCTCATCAACACTCAGCACACAGAAGATAGGATGAACATACCTCTCAACAGTGAATCACATTTAATTAGGCCACACAGATATGGGTTTATGAGAATATAAGATGTAACTTTTACATTTCATGTTTAAAATGCATAGGGGCAGGTTCCTACATAAATACAAGCTAAGTCAAAAGAGAAAAATAGACATTAGGAACTCCAAACTGTATCAGTGCAGTTAACACACGCCGTCAGCGTGGAAAATGTAAATGAAGCCAGAACTGCTGAGTCATTCTCTTTCTAGCCAACCAGCCAATGATCTTGTCGGCTTTGTGCCGACTGCTGAGCCAGTGCTTCATATTGTATTGTAGAGCTGGATCTCAGCCCATCACATGGTTGGCTTGGATATACGGGGAGGCTGAATGTCACATGGGACCACAAAGCCTTTCTGGATGCCTGAGAGGCTGACATGAGGTGCACTGTTGCCACATTAACAACTGTCAACTATAGGTAGAACGTAATCTACCAGCACACCATCCAAAATTATGAAGATAAGGTTTGTTATTTAAGCCTCTGTTCATTTTAATTTATATATATATATATAGAGAGAGAAAATATTTAGTTGACCATCATATATGGCATAAATGATGATTAACCCTTAAAACATAAATACAGAATAAACAAAATTAAAGCGGCACTACACCGAACATGAAGTTCAGTGTTACTTGAGTGGAAACAGTCATATAGTATTCTGTGGCTCTCGGGATCAGATTTCACATAAACCAGTCCTCTTCTGTTCATGTTATTTATTGCCTTGTATAGTCATTAGCTGATTTAATGAACCCCAATCAGTTACATTTGAACTATTTACCTGGTCTTGTATCGAAAAGGTCAAAAATTAGTGAGCATGTCCGAGTTCAGTCAATTACTCAAGGGCAGAGCATAAGGTTGCTGATGGATAAACAGGCTGACCTATTGTTTAAGAAACAAACACTAACCACCGCAGCCCCATGGCTTCCAAATGAGATCATTAGCTATTCTATCTTTTTTTCCCTTCTTGTTTTGTCCTGGATCCATTTTATCGACAACTTTTCCACGGAACTGTTGTGAGTGGCGTGAGATCCCTCATGTCTCTGATCAGTGTATCAATTCCCTGATCAAATCCCTGCAGTGTTTTCTATTACCTACATTATTTGAATTGGCAGGTTGGACAACAAAGACATATGCAATAAATAAAATCTCGAATATATCAAAGTCTGCCGGCAACAGTGAGGTGACACGCGGCCAAATCAGGTCATCATGATGAGAATAGTAAACGCAAGTGTGTGTCTCTTACCTCCAGTGCCTGACAGGGCTGCTTTGGCCCCAGCCAAAGTCAACAGCCCACCTGGTTTTAGGTGCAGAGTGGCGAGGTGGCTGGAGATAGTGGAGGTCCACACACTCTGTTTCCACATAAGATCTGCGTTTTTGTATAAATCTAAGAGAGACAAAAACATTTTTAAAAGTCTAATTTTAATTCACTGACTGAATTTTATAATTCGCCCAACATGCATCTATGGATCACCTTATTAAGTGCTGGAACATTTTAGGTAATACGCTCATTTGCTTTCTGCTTACATAAGAAGATCAATACCACTCTCCGTCCGTCTGTTAAATATAAAACCTATAGCCAGCAGCCGTTTAGCCAAGCTTAGCAGACTAGACTGCTTAAACTCTACAAAAAACTAATTTTAAAAATGACAAATCGTTTTACAGGGATTTATGTACGCAATCATTTTTTTAGCTGGAACCATAAACTTCCCAGCGTCTCCACTGTTTGCCTGGCAACAACTCAGATGCAATTAATAGTTACAACCTGTTGAAAAAGGGCTAATCTTTATATTGTAGGTCTTGAATTGATTAAACAAACAAGTGTTAATCAGTGAGTCTTAGAGCTGCACAGTGGATATCTAGTCTGGTCCTAAGTACTGAGAATTGCTGATTTCCTTTTACTGCCAGGTAGTTTTTCATGCAAGTTGTGAGATAAATGCAATAAACTAACTGGCAGAATAAAACCTTCTCTGGACACAAACAACCAGGGTGAGCTGGAGGCTTCAAACTATTTATTTAGGCTGAGTTTAAATCTAAGCATGAATTGCTGAAGGAAATTATTGGCTGATGATTAATGTTACAGCAAACAAAAGGTTGAACTCTGACCTTTGGAACTACAGCTTCCTCCCGCCCATCCTCCTGCTACACACAAGATGGCATCCACTTTCTGCTCCCCTAGCAACTGGGCCACATCTGTCGTCACCTGCACAAAACAAGAGATAACTACAAACACCTTTTCATAAAGCCACAGGGCAAATGGCTTTTCAATGATGACTACATTTCAGCTCACACGCCAGCTGCAAGCTTTGAATACATGTTCTATGCCAATTTCTCCAAGATATTTGGAGAAATCACTGACACCAACCTCCAAATGATGAATACAGAGATTTTCTTAATAACCTTTATTGCAAAAAAAATAAAAACAAAAAACTGTGCATTCATGAGGTATGCTACAGAATTTAAGTAAAGTAATGTTACTTGGCTAAATAAAGACAAAGACAACATAACAATGTGTTAATGTACGGTCTCATCAGAAGAAAATTACATCAGCTTTAGTATTTTACATTTTTACCTGTCTGGGTTGTACCCCAACTGTTGCACAGCATTAACTGGATGGTAAGAGCATGGTAAATTGGTTGATGGTCACAAGGCTGCAAATATATAATTATTTTGTTTCATATAATTAAAAAAAATAAATACAATTTTGGATTGTGAATGATTCACAATCTTGCACGAGCTTACCAAAATGCCATAGTGAAAAACCTGAAATAAAATGTTGCATTCACAAAGCAACTTAGCAGCTCTGCTTGTAAAAAGCGTCCAGTTGTTCCTACTTTTCCAATTTGACTTGAACGCCGCATTAGTGTACACATTTTTTAGCAAAGTCAGACTGATCGATGCAAAATAAGAACAACAAGCAAATCATATTTACAATCTATTGGATTCACACCACGATTAACACTTTAGCTGCTGGTCGCAGCGGCTTTACTGTTGGCTGTTCGCTCTTCGGGTTGACATTTATGAGACAGAAACAGCAACCACGCCATTCATATAAATGTCATCTGCAGCTCACCTGTCCTGCTTGCTCGGTGAAAGATTCACTCAACTTCACAACCACGTTTTCGTTTGCCTCGTCGTTTGCAGCCATGTCGATGCTAGCAACCCACTATTCATTTCATAAAGAGAAAATACAGTTAACGTTAGCTTAGCATTTAGCAGCGTGTTAGCATATTTACGGTTTACCGTTATCACTCACCCATCCTTTAGATTTGAAATGTTGGACACATTTTGAGCCCAGAGCGCCTCTTCCGCCGTACACGATCACCCTGTTAGCAGCCATGTCTCTGCTCTGCTTAACAAGTGAGATATTGACCGACCCGTGGCCGAGATTAAAAAAAAATACAGAGAGAGACAGAGAGGGAGGAGGGGGCGTTTCTGTGGTGGTGCAACAAGTTGGCGGAGCTGATGCTGCTTTCACAGACAGTCGGAAACACAATGATTACAGGGTGAACCATGCAGCCCATGCGGGGAACTCATTATCCACAGTGGTGAAAGATCTTTAACTTGAGTAAACGTACACTTTAAAAGCATTCTGTTACAAGGAAAAGACCAGCATTGAAAATGTTACTTTTGAAAAGTATAATCAGGACAATGTACATAAGTAAAAGTACCTAAAGCAGGAAAACAGCCACTGTGACTCTTATACTATTATACTTTATATTATATAATTAGATTATTACTACTCGTGCCTCACTGTAAAAGCAGGAGTTTACCGTTGTAGTTGGTTGAGGTGGAGCAATTGGACAATTCTGAAAATAGTGATAAATGCCTCACAATTATTAAGAGCCCAAAGTGACACCTTCACAACGCTTGTTGTGTCCAACTAATTGGACACAATTCTAAATTCTTAACTATAATAAATATAAAATAAGACAAATTTTGACCAACTGATAAATGCAGTGTAGTACAAAATACACTATTTCCCTCTGAAATGAAAGAGACAGCAGTATGCACAGTACGCAAAAAGAGGTTAACAAATGTATATTGTCTCAAGTAATAAATATAGTCCATTTCTTAAACTGATTACAGGCGAACACAGACGCCTTGGTCAACTGCTCCCACTGTTCTCTGGTTTTGTTTTTATGTGGGACAGTCTGGAAAAGTAGGTAGTTTGTGGAGATGTAGAGCAGTACTGCAGTTGCAGCTGTCTGCACTGGCTTCTTGGGCAACATTTAACAAAAATGTAACAAAGTTAGACTCATATATTAGTTTTGAATGCTTGTACAACTTGGCACTTGGATAACTCTAAAGGAGCACCACTATCTTTTTAAAGATATAATGCACCTCAGTGTAGCTTCAGGATTGGGTCTAAATGTAATAACGTAATAAAACGAATTACTGTGGAGGTTGTTTCCAGGCAGACACGGTAGTGTTAGAGGCCATTGCTTATTGGCATTGTTAGGTAGAAAGTTTAGCTAATTTGTCTATCATTTGTTGAAGTTCACAGTGGTGAAATAAGTAACAGCCTTTTACATTACATTACAGCCATTGTAATTATATATGTCTTAATGTAATAAAAATGTACATTTTACATGTTTTCAGAACTGTGGAATTACAATAAATACAACAATGACCAAGGATGCATATTGTTCTTTGCCATGTAATTTTATTTAAAGTGAATTAAGTACAGAAAGGGACAGATTATTTTCAGTTTTGCAAGAACCTTATGTATGTGTGGCTGTATTTATCCCAACTATTTAATGTTCATTCAGTGAGCACTAGGTGCTGCTGCAAGACTGCGATGCTGATGACACAGCAGTGAACTACAGCTTCCCATTATTTTGCTGCTGTGCTATCTGTGCTGTGCCAAAGCAGCATGCCAACGAGACATCCCCGGCTCTCATGAATAATACAAACAAGATGGCCTTGGCTCCCCTGTCAATGTAGTGAAGCCCCCGATCTGTCACACTCACCTGGATGTGACACACACTTCTGCTACAGGGAATAAATGCTTGGTTTGTCTAGTCTAACATCCACAAACACACCCACATCCACACACACACACTCAGAAAGGGAGTGTGAGAGAGAGAAATACACACTTTCGGGTTTCCCAGTATTGTAAACAAAAGTATTATGCCATCCCTTCCTGCCTGCCTTCCTATTTCCTGGATAAAAGGTATGAAACACACATGCACATTTGTCACACACACACACATTTCTTTTAGCGTGTAAGATGAGGAGGAGCAGTACGGGTGATGGGAGTTGGTGAGACTGACCGAGCTCATATCTCCTCGAGAGCAAGGTGACGTACCAAGGAACACACAATAATTATGTCCTGCTGTCTGGTTCAGACATCCTGCGGATTTCTGACTGTCGACAAACACAAAGTTACAAGTACTCTGCAACAATCTGTGCAAGGTTGAGGATCTGTCAGCAGCTCAGCATCTCATAGCCTCAAGCAGACACAGTAAAAACTACAGCAGCAGCGGCTGTTGTGGAAGTAATAGTTTGAGTGGAGATGGTTGCTCAGAAATGTGACGATATGATGATATGAAAGGTCACTGTTGTGAAAAGAAACTGGGAAAATCTGGGGGCAAGGGAAAGTAAATTAGGGACCAGTGCTCCCAAGTTGGTTACCATGGCAACTTGCCAAATTCCTCCCATTAGCTTAAGGGGCTCAGCGGCAGATTCCTGTCTTGGTGGTTGCATTTTAACCTTTTCCTTGGTCTACTTTTTAAAGTGAGTTTCATGGGGAAACACTAGAAAAAAGCATCACTAACCAGCACTGACTTTTTAGGAATTCTTCTAGGGATCTCTCTTAGCCACCACTTTGATTGAGACTGAAATATTTCAACAACTTCTTGATATATCGCCATGATATTTGGTCCAGACATCCATTTCCCCCTCAGGACAAAGTTTAGTCTCTTTGTTTATCCATCAAGACCAGCAGGTCAAAATTTCCATTCACCTATCTACTACTAAATATGTTTGTGAAAACAAATCTCCCTCCAGGACAGTACATCTAAATCTAATGTAAATATTTTGTATGATATCTAAGTATGGTTGGTAGAGAAGGAAAAAGTGATGATTTTCACAATGATAATGTATCTGAGTGAGACCTTTGAGTGATGGAGAAGAGGATATGAGAGTCCAACCACTGTCTGGATTTTCTTTTTATCTTGGTTTGAAAATGTGACAGCAGTAGTAAGTACCTTTCCCACCTTCTTTTATCCTCAAGCTTCTCAACTTGACTGTGATTTTAGATGTGAGGTGTAAAATATCTGGACTACAGTTGTCAGTATTATGACCCAGGTCAAATATTGTTATATATATATATATATATATATATATATATATATATATATATACACACACACATCCAGCAGACTTGGAGAAACATTAGCATTAACTTGGAGTTGTGTTTGTGTCCACCTGGGCAATGCAATTCCAAGATTCACTACCTTTACTCTGTTTTTGGTCGCTATCAACTCCTGAGGGAAATATCTGGCTCTTTAGCTGCTACGTGCTTCACTATGTTAGCAGCTAGTTGCTAACTTTGTCTGTATACTGTTTTATGCTGGGCAACAACTGCTGCCTTCAATGACTGAAGACAACTCTATGAGAGAGGTAAGATTGAACCAAAACAGTTCATTTATAAGCCATAAAACCAAAACATTGAGCTAAAAGATGCAATGAATCTCTGTATAGCTAAGGGAAATAGCAGAGTCAGGTGATAAATCTCTGTGGCTTCATCACTAAAGATGACAACTTTCACATACAAGAAGTCATGTAATCCATTTAAATGCCACAAGTCATCCCGTCTGATTAGAGATGTTGGTAGTAAGAGTCAAATTAAATCTATTCTTAAAGTCATAATTTTTTTCTGATGTTCCTGAAGGTTGTTTCAGATTGTTCCAACTCCTCAGTGAATTGTGGTTGCAGAAAGCCTTGCAAATTTTTTGGTGTGCACATGGCATTTCTATCATCTGACCAAGTAAAGAATAATAGAAACAGTAAAGTCCACAAGCACTTAACTGTTCCTGAGCTGCATGTTTCCACTACAGGTTTGGTCCTCGTTGTATGTCTGACTCCTCTTAGCATTTCATTGCCATCCTGAGATCCCACAACAGGAGCCTTCCAGGAAGTATATCCAGTAAAAACCTTCAGTAACTTCTCCTTAATGTGCCAATCTTAACCTTTAGAAAATGGTGTCAAAAAAGCTCAGGCTTTTAAAGAATTTCCAGACTCATTTTACATATTTACATAATTTCATTTTCAGTTATGTGACCTTGCTGGCTTGTTTTAACCTTTCTCACCTTACCCACAACCATGATGAGTGTTCTTTTAACCTAACACTTTGTCATTACTGTGTTGCCCTTTTATTTTGTTGAATAATAATTTTCATAATGTGCATTTATCTTTGTTGTGCAGCAGTTTATTTGTTTTGGAAATGACCCATGAAAATACATAGTCACAGTTGTGTTTGTAAGTGGTTGAGCACTGTTATATTTTATAAAGGTAATCTCTGCATGTTTGAGCACACTGCTGCCTTCAGATTTATACTGTGTAAATTTTGTAGCTCACTTCATAATACCATCACTCATACACTTAATGCATGCATTACTTGCTGACCTATGTTGCACTTTGACTCCATCCACCTCAAGTACTGCGGCGTCTGTAAAAATCAGATCGATCCCCTTCAAACTGTTTTCCAAGCTCGAAAAAAGGTCAGGTTATCATTTGATTGAATGATACCATAGTTCTTTTTATAATACAGAAATTTAGCTCCAATAAACTTGAATTGAATACAGTGCTTATGCAGGTTAAATGTTGGATGGATGGATTACAAATAGATGTAAAGATAGGGGATTTTTACATGCTGCTAGTAAATAAACTCAGCTGTAGTACATGTGTACTCGCTGTTCATTTGGTTTAAGAAGATTCGATACCTAGCTACAATAACAAGAAACTCTGAGCAGAATAGTCCAAGCACTGGGTGGAGTTTCAAAATGTGATTTCCCACAAGCACAAAGAGAATTTACACAAAAAAGTCCAACAGGATGCTCTTTTAATTTAGTGGCTAGCTCTGGTAAGATAGGTGTCTTTAGAGTTACCTTACAGATTATCTTCTAAAATGTGAAGTTCCAGCTTTGAAAAAAAATGGTATCCTCTCTCGGTGATGGCACCCAGTCAAAACAGTTACTGAAATTTAACATTAAGTCTAGTCATCATCATCATCGATGCTTTGTTAGGGACACAAAAAACACAATAAAAAAACAATACAAAATGAAAGAAAAACAGACAATCCACAATTAGTGGAGTCCCCAGAATAGTGGTTTCACACACTGGATCCTATATCTTTTGGGGGGCTGACCTTCAGTAAAGAAATTCTTCCTGGAAGATTTAGATTACAAAAT